GTACTAATTATAAGGAATGTCAGAATGCGAACACAAAAAGTAAAGTAGATAATAAGTTTGTTCCTTGCACCACACGCAGTGGCAGAGTAGTTAAGCCACCTGTGCATTTTTTTGTAAACTAGGTCTAAAGCAAATTAAATTAAATGTAACACTGCAAATTTGGCTAAATGTTAACTTATAAAGTAGAATAATTAGCAATAAATTTATGTATAATTTCAACCGATTGACACTTCTTTTACGTAAAATAACTTTCGAAATTATTTTATGTCTATTTTTATAAACATGGGCAAGCAACAGTCAAAGAACGCAAAAGTAATAATAGCTCAGAACGGAGCTGAATAATCAAGCGCAAGCTGAATTACAAAGAAAGTTGGAATGCTACAGCGTCGTCACGATGATCGTGATAATTGTGATATGTGTAACATGTCTTTACATTTTTTGCCGGAAAGCCGGAAAGAAAATAAAAGGTAAAGTGATCGAACAAGTTATTTCGAGTATCGAGCAAGGACGCGGGACACAGCCAGCTCAAACAGCAGCTAGTTCAAACGCCCAATCTGCATCAGTGCATTATTGAATAGTAGTGTTAAAATAAAATTTAAAACATATAATCTGTTTAATATACTTGAGTACCTAGTATACTTACAAAATTAAACTACGTATTACATGTTTATATACTTAAATCTTTTGTAATAAAAGGGTTTCACAGTGGACTTAAAATGTAGTGTAAGGAATTAGAGATAAGTAATTACTAATTACTTAAATGTATTGTTAAGACCATGAATTATGTAGTTTTACTCTTAAGACTAACATATATAGCTCAAATTAAATTAATCCGACCCATAAGAGAGTCACTTTGTATTAAATAGTATAGTATAGTGCAAAACAACAATGTAATACATTAGATCAGTGTTTCACCGTATTGTTATCATAGGAAGTAGGTAAGTCGAGCGATCGAGTAGCAGGCAAGCCACGCGTTATCGTATTGTTTGCTTGCAACTTAATATGCTCTGAGCACACGCTTTTTAGTTTAAGTTAGAAGTAAGGCTGAACCGATTTAGATGAAACTTTTAACTTTGTTCTATACGATGTATTAAATTCATATATTTCATTTTTTTAAAGGGGGGAGTACTGTGGGTGCTGCTGACACAGCACACACAGGCGTCACCCGTGTCAATGTATGTGTAATTCTTGCGAAATACGATAACGATCGCCACCGGTGGGACGGCAGCCTTTAGGCGACTAACACAATTCCTTTGTAGTGTACTAAGCGAGCACGCGGCTCGGGTTCGACCAAATAAATCTACTTCGACCAGTTATGTGAACAATCTAATCATTTTCCCCTCTACACATGCCTTTATGTAACACCAGAATCCCCAGTAACACAACAAAGTTAATATGTACAACTGTTTGAGATCCATATAAATAAATAAATAAAACAGGATGAATCATTTGTTAAAGTTCGATTGGTATTTATAGATAAAGACCCTTTTAAGGAAACCATGTATCGCAGGTATAACAAAGAAGACAATTTTTTTTGTATGGAGAATGGGCCCACTACAAATTTTAGGGACACTTAACGAAATAAATATGTCGATTTATTCATTATAACTAATTGTAAAGACTGTACTTTCATGTCTAAGAAACAAAAACATTTCGAAGACTCGAGTTACGTTCATAATGGAGGAGACATATTAGGTTCAGCCTATAAAGCAGAACGGCAGTCTGATTGCTCAATACCCATACCATACCCTTTTAGTAATGAAAGGAAGCATTTGCTCAGTAGTGGGACGTCATTGGGCTGCAACTTTTCAAGAAAATGTAAATTATTAGATAAAATGTAAATCATATATGTAGGAATGGAATGTAAGGGAATGGAGTGAAAACGGAACGTAAGTGGGTGAGAAGGAGGACGTTAGGTGCGAGAGGGACGGGGACAACGTGCGGGAGTTTTTTGAAAGGAGGAAGGGTGCGTACGTGACTTAAGTACATTAATTAATTAAAAAAGGTGTTAAACTGTGAAAATAAAACAAACTATTCATTATTCTCGATTTTTATTAAGAGGCCTGACAAAATCTCACATAATTTTGGTGTCAGAAGTGGGATAGCCTCAAAATAATCGAGTTTCAAGTTACGACGGCACGTGGTCACGGCGCGCAGCGGTACCGGCACAAGGCGACGACGGTGCAGCACATTAATATAAGAAGGTGGTTCTCCGATGGGAGAAAATAACGACGTAACGAAGTTAAGAAGACTACAGCTCAAGACGCGCTGCAAGAAAAGGCTGTAAAAGATTCACAAGACGTAAAAATGGCGGCGGAAGGCTTTTCAAGCATGGTGGACAGCATTGCGAAGTTTAGCGGTAATGACAAGACTTATTCGTCAACAAAGTGGGCTCAGGACATCGAAGACAATAAGGAGGGTTTTAGCTGGACAAATCAGCAAACATTAATAGTAGCGAGAAGATCCTTGACAGGCACGGCTGAACTGTGGCTACGATCAGAAAAAGTTTTTAAGACGTTCGAAGAGCTCCAAACAGCACTGCAAAAAGATTTCCCTGACTCACTTAACGCAAAAGAGATGCACGAGTTAATGGCGTCGCGCAAGAAACAGCGGGACGAAACTTGTTATCAGTATATGCTGATTATGAAGGAACTGGGCAAAAGAGCTAAATTCCCAGAGTACGTCTCGATCCAGTACATCGTGGACGGCATCGTAGATCAAGAAGTAAACAAGGTGATGTTGTATGGAATTACATCATATTCAGTGTTAAAAGAAAAACTCGTTTGTTATGAAAAAAATGAAGACGAAGATCGTTCCTGAAAAACAAAGAAAGTCATCCATATCATATCCATCGACTTCATCGTCGGGTTCAATAAGTCGGCAGCAACCTAATAATAATAAAAGATGTTATAAGTGCGGCGATCCAAGTCATATTTCAACAGCGTGTACGAATAGAACGAAATGATTCCGGTGTAATAAGTTCGGCCATATTGGTACACAGTGCACGAACGAGCAGAGCAGCGGCGTTGCAAACATGAGTGAATTGTCGGGTAAGCAGTTTCGCGAGTATCGCGTAACCGTCCCGGTGGAGAAAGGGAGACAGCAAATGTCGGTAAAGCAGAGTACGGCGGAAGCGCAGCGACAATCGGCCATGTTCGGACTTTCGGCCAATAGAAGAGTGGACACTGCGGGCAGCCATAATAGCTGCAATATGGCGAACGAGAACGACGACTGGCAAGATGTAAACAAACATAAAAAGCAACAAAGTACGCCGGTTAAATTAATTAAGTTGTGCGGAATGGACATGGACGCATTAATCGATACGGGCAGTCTAATTAATCTGATGGCAAGTGACGTGTATAATGAACTGAACGTGGACAAGTGCGCCAATAACACGATTTAAGCGGGACTCGGAGTGTCAAAAATAAAATCGTGTGGAAAGTTTTACGAAAGTGTTTCGATCGACGGAAGATGTTACGACGGGGTTATTTTTAACATCGTACCTAAAGACTGTATGCCCTATAAAGTGATTTTAAGTCAGGAATTTCTAAGAAATGTTGTCATGGTTATGCGCGAGGGTTCCGTCTTGTTGTTACCTGAAGGTGAGGAATGGTTAACGAGAGTGAATTGTTGTGTGAGTGAGGTTGATATTGCCGGCCACATCCACGACGATGGCATTAAGGCAGATGTGGAGCAGCTCGTGTCGCAGTATAACCCGGTCCAGACGAAAGAGGCGCCTATCGAACTCAACTCAAGATTATACTTAAAGATGAAATCCCAGTGACGCAGCGCCTGAGAAGACTTGCCCTGATGGAACAGAAGATAGTGGAAGATCAGGTAGACGAGTGGTTCCGCAAAGGAATTGTTCAGGTGAGTTTCTCTGAATATACTAGCCCTGTAGTCCTTGTAAAGAAAAAAGATGGTTCAACTAGAGTATGCATTGACTATAGGCAGTTGAATAAGAAGATAGTTAAGGAAGAATTTCCCTTACCATTGATCGAGAACCTAATTGATAAGTTGAAAGATGCTAAGGTATTCAGTGTCCTAGATCTTAAAAATGGTTTCTTCCATTTAAGAATGAGCAAGGAGTCCATACCCTTCACATCGTTTGTCACGCATCATGGGCAGTGGGAATTTCTTAGAGCACCATTTGGTCTCTCCGTATCGCCGAAGTACTTCATGAGGTTCATCACCATCATATTTAGAGGCTTGATACAAGAAGGTGTTATGATGATATTCATAGACGATATTGTTATTCCAGCGCAGACGAAGGAAGATGCTGTACAGAGATTAAGACGAGTGCTGGAGGTGGCTGCTGAGTACGGGCTTGAAATCAACTAGAAGAAGGCGAGGCTGATACACCACGAGATTGAATACTTGGGACATCTGGTCAAAGACGGGCAGGTACAACCCAGTCCGGATAAGATTGAAGCAGTCACACAATACCCCGAGCCTGTGAATGTCAAACAGATCCAAAGTTTTGTCGGGCTGACTTCCTATTTTAGAAAGTACATAATAGTCTATGCACAGATAGCGAGGCTGCAAACAGATTTGATGAGGAAATATGTGAAGTTTGTTTTCGGGCCTGAAGAGCGACAAGCGTTCAACATTTTGAAGCAGAAGCTAACGAGTGAACCAGTACTGATGATTTTTGACCAGAAGCTGCATACAGAACTTCATTCAGATGCATTTAGCATAGCTCTAGCCACTATTCTCATGCAGAAGAATGAAGAAGGAGAAATGCACCCTGTATATTACAGGAGCAGAAGGCGAATGATATTGAAAGTTGTTATTCAAGCTATGAGCTTGAGGCACTCGCAGTAATAGAAGGTGTGAAAAAGTTTCACCACTACCTCTTTGGCAGGTACTTTAAGATTGTCAAAGACTGTGAGGAATTGGAGCTTATCTTGAAGAAGAAGGAGCTAACACCAAAGGTGGCCAGGTGGGTATTACTTCTCAGCGAGTATGACTATGATGTCGAACATCGAGCGGGATGCAGGATGCCACACGCAGATGCGCTCAGCAGAATCCCATATGTAGCTGCAGTGGTAACATTGCACGAGAAGATCAGCCAGGCGCAAGAAAGAGATGAAGACCTCAAGGCTATAAAACAGCTGATTTTGACAAATGGCCATTATAATGACTATTATGTGGAACAAGGAGTGCTTTACAAAGGTGATCAGAGACAACTGGTGGTTCCCAAGCTAATGGAAAAAGAAGTAATCAAGGAAGTACATAGCAATGGTCACTTTGCTATGAAGAAAATGAAAGAAGCAATAAGCAAAGATTATTTTATAAAGAATATGGACAGAAAAATCGAAAGAGTGATTACCAGTTGCATACCGTGTCTGCTAGCAACCCGGAAAGAAGGCAAACAGGAGGGATACTTAAACCCTATTGGAAAAGAAGGAACTCCGCTGCATACTTTGCATCTGGACCACATTGGACCGCTAACTGAGACACGAAAGATGTACAATCACATACTTACAGTAGTCGACGGATTTACTAAATTTGTGTGGCTGTACCCCACAAAATCAACGACTAGTGCAGAAGTAATAAGTAAGCTACAGTTGCACCAAGATACGTTTGGAAACCCTGTACGTATCATAACAGACAGAGGCACAGCTTTTACCAGTGGAGCATTTAAGAAGTACTGCGAAGAGGAAGGTATACAGCATGTCACCATTACAACCGGCATACCAAGAGGAAACGGCCAAGTAGAGCGGGTTCATCGGATAATGATACCCATGCTAACGAAGCTGTGCATCGAAGACCAGTCACTATGGTATAAACATGTTGGATGTGTGCAAAGAGCAATCAACAGTACTTACCAGAGAAGCATAGACACCACAACGTTCCAACTGCTCACTGGAACCAAGATGAATTGCAAGGAGGACGTAGAGATATTAAACTTGCTACTCCAGGAAACTATAGCGCAATACAGTGAAAGCAGAGAAAGTTTAAGGCAGAAGGCCAGAGACCAAATTCAAAAGATACAGGAAGAAAATAGAAATACCTACAATTAAAAGAGGAAGCAGAGTTCTCAGTATGAGGTGGGAGATCTCGTCGCAATTAAAAGGACACAGTTCAGGCCAGGGCTCAAGCTGAAAGCGAAATTCTTCGGACCCTATAAGGTAGTCAAGGTGAAACGCAATGACCGATACGACGTTGTAAAGTTGTATCAAGGCACAGAGGGGCCGAACAGTACAGCGACATCTGCAGATTTCATGAAGAGATGGCCTGAAGAAGATGACTGCGAGTAAAACAGGTATTGAGTAATAATATTTGTTCATAATTTTTTTTTGTTTGTTTCAAGGTGTGAAAGTTTGAGACTGAATTATTAATAATAGGTAAACTTGATACTTATTATTTTTTAAAGGTGGAACCCTCAGTGTAGATCTCATAAAGCTGTAATAATGTGATGTGATAACTTAAGGTTCAGATTATTATGTAATTTTTTTTATTGTCAAAGATAAACAGATCTCGCAGAGCACTATAGTGTTATATTAAGTCTAAGATGTATAATTTCTTTTTGTTGTGGTAAAGATGCAAATAAGTTTTCGTAACTTTCAGCAAGTGTGCGAGCTTTTTATTTTATGCTGTTATGTCATATTATCTCATACTTGTATTGGATGTGTTTACTAAGTTGTAGAAATGCAAAGAGTCTACCTACATTGTTGACTAGTGTCAGTAATTGTTTAAATTTTTTTAAAGTGCCATGAAAGATGTAATGTTTACTTAGTCTCCAACAGAAAATGAACATGGCAATGGTTAAAGATTATTTTGTAATGTTAGGATGCTAGACACTAGAGATGTATTATGTATGATGTAAGATGAATGAATGATGAAAGAGGGAGAAGAGCATATCTGGGGCAGATATGAGATCCAGGATGACCGAAATGTAGGAATGGAATGTAAGGGAATGGAGTGAAAACAGAACGTAAGTGGGTGAGAAGGAGGACGTGAGGTGCGAGAGGGACGGGGACAACGTGCGGGAGTTTTTTGAAAGGAGGAAAGGTGCGTACGTGACTTAAGTACATTAATTAATTAAAAAAGGTGTTAAACGGTGAAAATAAAACAAACTATTAATAGGCCTGCCAAATCTCACATATATAATTTATATATATAACAACTCAAAATAATAAAAAGCCGCGGTTGGCAAGTGACGCCTATGGAAATATTTCCCCTTCTAGGTATTCTATGAAGAAGGCCTTAGTTATCAGTGGGCTCTCAGTCAGCTGTAAAGAATGTAATTAATTAAAATAATTAATAAATGTCTATACTACCTTTTATTTTTATTATTAAAATAAATACTTTAAATTTTTTGATATTGCTATTATTAAAATTTTGTTATTTTAAGTTAAAGATACGAGTAAACTAAAGTCACGGAGACTAGTGATTAATGAATGAAATGTTCGCGAGATTTTTCACCGCCGCCATTTTGATATTAACACTTAGGTAGGCGCGTCTTAATTTGTAGCATATTAAGTACTCGCTGCCGTGTCCACTGTACTCAGTATAATATAATAAGTTTAATCCAAAACTTCTTTAAAAACGTAAATGGTTACTTTCTAATAAAGACTCGATATGTGGAAAGAATGATATAATTGAATCAAATACTAATATTTATTGTTTTTACTTAAACAAAATCTGTTAGAAAAGTATACTAAATTTCTCCATAGTCTTGTGACATTTACTTACTTACTTACTTATCTTCACGCACAATCCCTGACGGGGTAGCCAGAGAGAACAGATCGCCAAGTGTCACGATCCTTACTCGTACATACCTCTTTCTCTTTTTTCAGATTCATTATCTTCTTCATACATGCACGTCTAAGTGATATTTTCTTCACCATTCGGTCTTCACTCATTCGTTTAACGTGCCCAAACCATCGAAGCACGCCCTTAATTTGTTGCTCCGCATTGTGCTGTCCCGTCTACCTCTCGACCTTCAAATCCATTTTGAGGAGAGGTATGGCGGGGACGAGGCCTCCTATATTCCGCCCTTCTATGACCTGCTGCGGTTTTTGGAGGAGCAGTGCCGGAAGATCGTGAACGCGACGGGCACCGTTGACGACTTACGAGCCGTGCCCAGTGAGAGGCTGAAACCGCCAGGCAAGTCGTCGTCAACCCCCCCCCCCCCTGTTCCTATTGTCGAGCATCTGATCACCGGGTAACGGCGTGCCCTAAATTATTAGGTAAGCCGGTTCCGGCGAGGCGAACTATCGCCAAGGAGCGCCGCTGGTGCTGCTCATGTTTGGAAGGGCACCTCCAGCGAGACTGTCCGCATCGGCGGCCCTGTCTGCATTGCCAGGGCAATCACCATGCAGTTTTGTGCCTGGGTGCGAACGGCGTCTCCTCTCGGGGCTCAGCCACGCCCTCTGACGGGCGACTCTCGGCGCCCGCCGGCAAGCCACCAGGCCCCTAAGTTTGAAAGGGGACCCTCCCCCGACCAGTCGGGGGGTAATTCCCACAGGGGCAAGGGTGTCATCACCCCCCTTCAGCGTGTGGAGAGGAACTTCACGGCCACTCATCGGTCCGCTGGGCCCTTCTTACTCCCGTGAGCTGAGTGGCCGCGACTGGTGTACCACTATTCCCCATTTGATGGAGGCGGCCCTGGCTAGCTGCCGCCTTAGCTCCCACCACGGCCCCCTCCACTGAGCCTTAAGCCGTCAACAGTCCACTTGTCAAAATGTTCTGTTGCTGCCGGCCTCAGTGAAGGCGTACAACCCGAGTGACGACTGTTAGCGGTTGCGCTTTATTGGTCTCGGGTTCACGCCATGTGGCCTCCACTTGCTGGTGGGAAGATTAGGGCCCCCCTGGAGCGTTGAATCACGCTGTCAAGGGGTATTAGATTTGGTTTGATCCAGCACTTAGTTAAAAATTCTTTAAATTAAAATTAAAAATGCTTTTGGGTTTTCCGCGAAATTTTCATATTTGTAGCAGTTGTGATTAAAATAATTGAATTTAATCTACTCCTTTAAATGCTGCTGCATATGTTTTGTAAATATTTGTAACCACTTTGTTTGTTGCTGCACGGAAAATTGAAATTGAATTATGTGCCCCTTTGAATGCTTGTGCGTATACTTTGTAATTGTATTTAATTGTTGCGCATGGTTGCTGAAAAGAAAGTTTGAATTCATTTGAAATAGAATGTCGCGCTATTTAGAAAATTATGTATATGTTTTGAGATAGTGTTTAATCATTTTGTTTTGTGAAAAAGAAGGCTGAAGTTAGATAACCCTATTTGTGCCGAAGTAAATAAAAGTCAATTCTCCTTTAGTTTACATTTTGTTGGCACTGTCTAAGTTATTTAAATGAGAAATAGGGCTGTCTCTTGCGTTTATTGTTTTGTTTATTTGTTTAAAGTTGACCTATGTGCACCGGTGATTAATTTGGTTGAATTGATTCTGTAGTTGAACATTGATGCTTTGAAAAATAAGTTGAAATATGAGCATAGGACTACTTGCCTAACAGGCTGGCTAGTTGTAGATTATCAGATGGAAATCAGCTGTCGCACCATTTGGTAAATGATTATATGGTGGATAGCCTGGCTATGCCTACTTGTTTGAAAATTCATACTAGGGACTATCTGTGCGTTCGTTCGGCTCTCCACAGATGACGTTCATGGGGAATTTGGGGGTGCTCTCTGTACTGAAGCTTACGAGGTTACTCTGGGCCGCTTCGTGTCGCGTCGCTGTTTGCAGACCTGATCCGGTCGGATTGCAGAACTAATCATAGGAGCACAGATAGGTGTATAAAGGAGGTCGTCGGACTTCTGTCTAGGAATAGGACTTATTTATGGGCTGCGGTGTCCAGGAAGGGCATCCAGTTCAACCCTCCGGCTTGCCCACGTTGGGGCTGTAATTTTGAGGCGTTGGTTAGGGTTGCAAGATCTGATGGGGTGCCTAAGGTGGCCTAGTTTGGTTGTAGATTCGGTCTTGCAACTTGCCGTCGCGACCTTGTCCCGCTGACCGCTTTGCTCGCGAACCTAAATCCTTATGTCCAGGACGGGGGTTTGTTCGCGCCAAACGCTGTTTCGGAATCGACGTCAGAGGGCGCGCGGCTCGGTGCCATACCGGTTTGACATTCGGTCGCGGTAGAACGCGCAAGCGCAGTAGTTGTCTGCCAGCTGTGCTTGAGACAGCACGCTGTCATTTTTTTTGTTCGGGAACCGCGGAATAGTTTAGGCGTCTAGTAAACATCCTGTCTAGGATTTTTAATGCGCATTCCTTGTTGGATAGCCTTTCCCGGGACTTATTGGGTCCGACTCAGAATCTGTATAAGTGAATTCGACAATATTAGCTAGTGCGGCCTTCGATATTCTAGAAATAACTGTTGCTACGCGAAACGGTAGTGACCTTTGATCCGGAAACTCCGTGTTCGTTTTGTGCGTTAACCTTATAACAAACGAGAGTTAGTGGCTTCTGTAAGTTAGTTAATCTTACGATAGAGTTAATGGACTGTCATCGTGATGAACGAGGAAAGTGACTGTGGACAACGCCGCGGAAGATTACCTCAATTTGGAGCAGCCTGGAACTCGGCCGCTGCTGGTCGCCTATGCTTGCCAAGGCCCCACACATTCACACCTCACTGTACACTACTCGCCATCCACTATTACCCACACTCACGGCCTGCCCAAGCCTTGGTGCGAAGTTAGCTCCGGATAATGGTAAGTACTATGTGTTTCTAGCTTTCTCCCATATTGTTTATTGTAATTAGGAAATTCCACGTGGCCATATTCTGGCCCCGTCCCTCTGCTGCTCGTCGATGGGATTACTCATGGGCCCTAATCCCGTCATCCTTGGTTGGGGCAGCTAGGGGCATGTAAATAGTCTAACCATGCTTTCTTCTTCTACTTTACAGCTTCTTTCACTTCATGATTCCACCATGCATCTCTTCTTTTACTACTACCTCTTTTTATCGTTCCACATACTTCTTACGCTGCACTTACCATTCCATCCCTAAGGTTCTTTCCACACATTCTTTTCTGCCATCGATGGTGTCAAGCTTTTCGACTACAATC